GGTAGAATTATTTGTTTAGATTATGAGATTTGGGGATAAGAATGGGTTATGGACCATAAGGGTGATTGGTGATGTTATAAGGAGTATTTATTATTTATAATCATGGTTCTATGTTTTAGTTTATGAATTAAAGGTAAACATGAATAATCATCGCATCCTAGTATGGTTCTAGTGATTGTTAGGACAAGAGGGCAAAATAGGAATATGATAACTTTATGGATTGAGTACTTATCCATATATTGGGGCTTACCAATTGATGCCTAAATCATTGAGAAATCTTTATGGATTAAGTCAAACTAATGGGTGTGGCTTAATGGCTTTATACTTTCATTGATATTTTTTTTGAGGAATAATTAAGTGCTTAATAGGAATTGGAATTGGCTTAAAGAATGGAACAAAACAGGAAGCTAGAATCTGTCTGCACAGAAAGCATGGCGTGACCACCCTTGGGTGTGACGCACTCAGCCCAACAGACTCCATTTTGATGTTGATTTGTCCCTCGAGCCTGCTTAATTCCAGTTTTAAGCATTCTTGTTGTTTTGGTGACTTGTAATCTGAATCATTTAAATAGTAATGTACTTTCAATATATATAGGTAATGACTGAGGGTGGTTACTCATTGAAGAAGAGTGGTGTAAGAAGCTAGGAGCTAAGATGAGTTACCGAGAACATACATCCCCTACCTACTTATTTTTATTTTCATAAATCTGACTTTATCTTTCATTGCATGGTGCTTTAGTACCCATTAATTTCCATGTGATCTAACTGTGCATTTCATGCAAATTTATTTTCTTTGAAATTTTTTGACAAATGAAGCCCAAGAGCATAGAATTTTGGAAAAATGTTTTCATCATCCTATATGTGTATATTCATACTAGGATAGGTATGACTTGAGATCCCGAGTACCCAAATGGAAATTGTTTATTGTTGTTTTTGTGACTAGATTTCTAAATAATCCTCACATGCACGAGTAGAGGCTCGCTACCCCTCTTGTGGCCTAGGTTCAATGGCCTCTAGTGCATTGTTTGTGGATGTAAGGGCAAACTTGACAATTTCATATATCATGTGTTCTTCACATCCGGTCATCAAATTGTGAGATGGACTTTGAGATTGACATGGGGTGGGAATAGATTCATGCATAACATTGCATTTAGCATGAAAATCATATTCATTTTTTTTGGCATTGTTTGAACGAAAAATATTTTTGCCTCTTTTAACAAATATAATATTTATTAGTTTTTAGGAGGATTAATTCGAGTAATAGGATTGTTATTCCTTACTCAAAATGAGTTTATCCTTGTGTAGCTCACTAGACATTTCATTGTCTAACTTATCTTGGATGTACGTTCATATTGAGAGGCTTGGTGCTTCAGAGATACCTAATGAACAACCTTGCTCCTTAAAACTTTTATTAAACTTTTGGGATTGTTAAACTTTTCCGCAACAAACTTGAAACTTTTGATTAAGAGTTTAAACTTTGTTTGAAAATGATTTTACAAATGGGCCCTAACGAGGGGTGTTACAGACATACTCGATATGTGTCGTAGTATTGAAACACATCAAAACAATATGATGATGAATTATCGACAATTGGAAGGAGATCAAGAATCACATCTATCTATTTATCTATATTATACTATAAAAGAATCATTTTTTTCCTTTCACCACATGCATTTGAAACCCTCAAACTCTTCATATTTTGTTATAATTGATCTATTTTATTAATCTCAATATGACAATAAATGTGAAATATTATCATATTAATGGTACAATTTTTTGAATTATTATAACACCTTGATCCATGTATTTCCCATTTATGCCCTTAATATGAAATTTATTTGCAAAGTTGGTCCCTTGGCTCTTTAAGTGGAAATCGTGTGTGTGCCTAGTACGTTGGGCGTACTCCAACTTACGTTGAACGTAAGTAGCTAAGGCTCAAACACTAATTTTTAGGGTTTGAGCCTTATTTAAGCATCATTATCTTTCCAAGACCTATTCCCTCATCAGCCTCTATCTCCCAAATCGTTCCTTGCAAACCCTAATCCATTGTGTGAGCATTTTGAGCTTGAAAGTATGCTTTTGGTGATCTTGAAGGAACAAGAAAGAAGTGGAATCAACTTGGAAGCTCAAGGCATCTTGGATCCAGAAGTATCTTGCCCTTGAGCTTCATTTGGAGGTATAAAGCTTGGATCTTGATGTGTCATTTTCTTAGATCTTGTTAGTCTAGAGGTTGTATGCATTTTTAGTCCTATAGTTTATTCTAATGGAGTATGAGCTACTCCAGGTCCTTGAAATGTAGTTTCCTGTGGTTTTGAGCTTCTAGACTCATAAAAATCAGAGCTTGGACACTCTCATTAAGCCATACAAGAGTTTGGGAGTTTTGGACCAAGGATTTGAGTTTTTACCCTCTTGAATGCATGCAAATGGATAAAGTTAGAGACTTTATCCATTAAGACGCCCCTTGATATCCGGATCTCAAGTTTGGTGCTTTGTCTCAACGAAATAAGAGCTTAATGGAAAAGTTGAGATTCAACTCTAGTATTTTGGGCATACCTGGAAGTACGTTGCGCATGCCGTGGTTTGAGCCTGTGGTTTGGAAAGGCACCCTATACGCTGGTCGTAGAGGGGAGTATGTAGGGCGTACACAGCCCAGAAGGAATCTTTGACTTTTTGACTTTTGACCTTTGACCATAATTTTGACAAAGTTTGACCTAGGGGCATTTTGGGTATTTTGAGTTGTGAATTGAGTCTAGGTCAATGTTTTCTGTGTAGGTGACCTGTAGAGTTGACATTTGGAGCAACGTTCTTTTCTGCTATCTTATCAGACTGTAAGGCGAGTTTCCTCACTGTATTTGTGGGTCGAAGGCACCAATGTCGGCCCATTCGGTTATGTATCCTGGTATATAAGATGTTGATATGTTGTTGTGATCCGTTAGATCTGCATGATTATCCGTTTGCTAGTTATATGTTTATCTGTTGTATATGTCGACATAATATGGTTGGGTTGAGGCAATATAGCTCTATGCGGAAGCCAACAAACTCGGGAGCAAGCTAGACATAAGACGTGGGCCAGAAAGGTAAGCCAGACTTATGTTGTGGGCTCAGGAACAATCAGACATGAGTTGTGGGCCAGAAAGGCAAGTCAGACTTATGTTGTGGGTTCAAGGGTAATCGAGCCCGATGTCTGTGGGCCCAGTATGGATGCTATTATATGTTTGCGTGGTGATATTTTGGGGAACTCATTAAGCTTTGGCTTATAGTTTTATGTTTCAGGTACTTCAAATGATCGGGGAATAGCAAATGCGTGATCATTGGTTTTGGAATATTTTGGAGTTATTATTCAGGTACACATCCTTCAACGACATATTTTGGAGTTATTATGATACATTGGTTTTGGAATATTTGTACTTGACATTGGTTTCTTATGACTTGGGTTTTGGTTGAAAACAATGATTTTACTTTAATTAAAATGAAAAATTTTATAGTGATTTTTGAGATGTTACAATTATAAATATAATATACTAAAAATATTAATTTAAATAGTATTCTAAATCCAATATATAAATCAAAATATCAAATAAACTTCAAAATATACAATTACTATTTTTTTAGAATAGTTTAAAACATTTAAATATTTTAAATGTAAAACTAAAATGATATTTCAAATTAAATAAAAATAATATCCAAAACTAATTTTTTATATTAATTGAAAAGTTTCCAAATATATAATTTTTAATTAATTAAAAATAATAATAATTAATATAACATTACCTTTTAAATTATAGATAATTTCTAAATTAATTAATCATAACTTTAAAAGTAATATTAAATAAAGAATTGTATTTAATTTTATTTACACGTCGGCTGCGAGTAGCGGTCTCTAATTAAAATGATTTTAATATATGTTATAATATGGTTCAAAATCATTACAATTTTATACAACAATTAGTGTAAGAAACTATTATTTCATAGTTTAACATCAATACATAATTATTTTCAATATGTACTTGTCAAATGTTAATTATATAATTTTATTCTACGTAACACACGAATATTCGTCTAATTGCAATAATAATACGAAAACTTAAACATATAATCTCCTAGTATTTAAATAGATGGAAGTAGATGACATCTCGATTCTTAAGAGATGAACAATTATATCTACATGGTTAAACGAAACGTCTAGAACATGCAAATAATTACTACTTAGGCTGGTAGGTGTGGGCAACGCCTACACTGGCGTTTTTAGATAAAAAGAAAAAACGGCGTTAAACAAAGGTGGTGGTGGCAACGGGAAGCAACGGCAGTCGTATAACGCACAAAAACGGTGAAGGGGGGGAGGGGGAGGGGGGTGTTTGTGCGTTATAACGCCTAAAAACGTCCTATGGTGATGCTACATGTCACAAAAGGTGTACATGATTTTTATTTTGTTGAGACAATTAAATCATCTTAAATTATTCTCGCCAGTAATAAAGTATTCCTCAAATATTTATTGGTGATGCTACATGTCGCAAAAGTTGTTCCCACAAGTTTTAAGGCTTTTATTCGTGGTGATTGTGGTTGTTTTGTTAAAATATGAAAAAAGAAAAAAAAAATACATACAAAAATATACTTCCATTTGTAATCATACACTTCCACTTGTAATGATATTGGAGAATGACTCTTAGAACTTCTATAATACAACTAATATAAGAGTTTATGGATGATGATATAGAGTAAAGTTGAATGATCATTGAATAAAGTGGTGATTATGATTGATTAGAAGTTTAATGGGTCGTGGGTATTGTTGTATAAGTATTTAATGGATGATGTGTCAATCCATTGAACTAGAGTTCAATGGATTGTATTAATTATATTATATGCCAATAATATTTAAAAAAAAATGTTGATTTTTACTTGGTCTTTTGCATTACATATTTAGCACGTGAAACCTTTTTATTTAAGGTAAGAAATGGCATACATATCACACATTAAAATTGAAATGACATACTTGACCCTCGCTTAGAGCTTCCCACCTTCTGGCTCGTTTACTGGGTACCTATGGATGCAATCAGCCCATGCACTATATTTTGTAGCTTCGATTTCTCTGTTACATTTCCAAACTGCACTGTTGCATTTAAACCCACTCCCAAACCCTATTTGCCAGACTCTATCTCCTTTCTTCATTTTCCCTTTTGCTTCCATATAACCTATCTCGTACCACAATGACGAAGACGATGTGTTTCCGAAACGGTGCAACGTCATCCTTGAGGCTTCAACATGCTCTGACGTCAGCCTAAGGCTCTTCTGAAGCTCATCAATAACCGCACGACCACCTGCGTGAATGCAGAAATGATCGAATGCCTTTTTGAAGTCGGGAATGTAGGGTTTAAGGTTAAGCTTAAGGAACTTTCTCCCCAAGAAATTGAAAAGAAACAAGAGTTGCTCCGATGCTGGAAGAACCAATGGCCCCATGGTGCTTATGTTCGACTTCAAAGAATTGCCAGCGATCACCATGAGATCTAGGTTTAGTGCTATCCCAACATGACCCTCTTTATCTTCTTCTTGTGAGACACAACGATATGATTTATCATCAGACCCTTTGTGGGTCCTAACCACATGCAAGAGTACGTACTTTGCATCTTTCCGGTGTGACCTTTTATTGGTCAAGAGAATGGCTGCACCTCCCATTCTGAAAAGACAGTTTGGAAGGAGCATGGATCTCTCTACACCCATGTACGAATTCGGGGAAAGAATCTCAGTACTTATCACAACCGCATACGATTCAGGGTGGACTTGAAGTAGATTTTTCGCAAAATCTATCGATATCAACCCCGCGCTACATCCCATTCCTGATAAGTTATAACTCTTGATGTTACTTCTCATCTTATACTTGTTAACCACCATGGCTGAAATCGAAGGAGTGGGTGCAAAGAGGCTGCAGTTTACAATCAAAATATCGATGTCTTTAGGATCAATCCCAGTTTGCTGAAACAAAGAGTCCATTGCTGAGAAGATGACCAACTCGGTCTCATCTCTAGCATCCATCATATTAGGCTTCGATGGTAGATAATGTAATGGATGTGGTAAACATGTTTCCTCTCCCAAACCAGATCTTTCTAAGATCATAAGTTGGAATTTAAGGCTCTTAGGTTGTGAGGCCAAGATGATTTGGCCGTGTTCAAGCGCAGTGGCATAAGGCACACGGAGTATAGATGGGGGCTTGAAACAAGCAAAGTCAACCAGGTAGATTGTTCGAGGCTTGTTCACGAAGTAGAATGCGAGAATGGATATGGTAAGCAAAGAGAAAGTTAGTGTGTAGATGAGCGAATGATGATGATTCAGAAGGTGGTATGGGGCTTTCTTGATGAATTCTTGAATACATATAGTAATGATTAAGGCTATGAGGATAAGCTTGACATAGTTGCTGAGATAGGCATAGGACCTTTTTGCAGACTGTAGCATTGTGAGGAAGATAAAGTATGGTGAAGATCTAAAGAGAAATATGATGAGGAAAGAAGTGATGACTGAAGTGAAAGGGAGAGGATGTATCAGTAATTAAAGGGAAGGGGAAGGGGAAGGGGAAGGTGAAGGTTAATTAGAAGAGTAAATGGCCGGGATCAAACGAAATAATGTTGCGGGAATTCGGTAGATGAGAACATTAAATGACCTTATTCGATTAAAATATCTTAGAAACTTATCTCTTTTTTTATTTATTTAATTTATAATTTTTATACTATTAAATCTTTAAGCAAAAATAAATAAAACTTTTTTTTGGTAAAAATAGTATTTATAAATAGAGGGTAAAAATAAAATTTTGACAAAACCTTTTGGCCTTGTATAAAACTAAAAATAAAATTCTAAATTCTAAATTCTAAATAATCAAATATTGAGATTTTTGTTATGCATTTATACTTACCATATTGAATATGTATTAAACTAACAAAGAAATTTATATTAATTGTTTTAAAACATTTTCAATATTGGTCTTACTGTTCATGTATCGGCATGATTTTTTATTACTATTTTATAGAAAATAATACTTCTTATTTCTTATGTATTAAATCCTAATAAATTAAGAAGAATGGGCATAACATAAATAAACATATATTAATTAAATAAGATAAAAAAACTGTAATAGAAAACCAATGATGGGGATGCTAATAGCTTAGAAAATGGTGCACGGTTGCCACCTAAGATGGACGATTTGCCCACTATGCACTATGGTCTATGGGTCCACAATGCAGGGACCATTAATTTGCCCAGCATATGGCTAAACAATGCAGGGACCATTCCTTTAATTTATGGAACCAACATAGTCAATGTCCTAATATTAGCTTCAATACATATTTTGTTGATAGAGTTACGGATACTTGATATAACATGTTAGAACGAGTTTAGTCAAAAGCAGTAGGATTATGTTGGCTTGACTCGAAACATTCTACGCTTAATATTATTATTGTTATTTTCTAAAGATAACTACCTAGTGTATTACGATTATTGCAAAACTGTATTACTACTATACTAATATAACTTTATGAACAGTGTAATATATATGGTTGATATTTTCCACTATAAAATACTGTTGTAAAAACTGAAGAATTAGCAACAAGCAAAAAGAAAAAAAAATAAAATATAATAAAAAACTAATTTACACTACTAGAAAAACGGTCTTTTAACGATACGCAAACAATGACACGCATTGATTTACGATACGTTTGGGTATCATAAAAAAAATGTCAGTTTTAAAAAATTTGAATAAGAGAGGACACGCATTTGTGCGCGCCCTAAATTGGTGTCCAATAGAAAAAAAAAATTACAAACAGGGAGGGCACTTATATCTTAAGCGGGTGTCGTATAGAAATAGATGTCGTTTTTTAATTTTTTCAAAAGCGCGCATTAATTCCACAAATTCGCAGGACCATTACCTAGGGCTTTTTTCAAGAACTCTCTCTAGCTCAGTGATATTTGGCCTCTGCAACAATTGACGTTCTCACTTCATGTCTCATCTCGCCTTGCCGACAACATCAGGTCCGACGACCTTAGGTGACCTTAGGTCTGCTTCTACTCCAGTGATCCCTGGCTCAGTTCTCGTCAGCGACCTCAGGCTCACCTGATCACCTCGTTGAAGATTGTGGCATCGCTCTACAAGCCCTAGTCCAACTAAGGTATGTTTTGTTCTTCTATCCTCAAACATCCCCTCCCCTCCCCCCCCCCCCCCCCCCCCACACACACACACACACACAGAGACAATTTTTTCAACAATAAATTTCCCTAAACTGAAATCATGTCTTTCTTTCTCTCCATTCAAACCAACCATAATCTGATATAAAAATGATGAAATGAGTTTATATGTTTGATTCTCTTTCTCCTCTAGTTCTTAAAGAATACACACAAGCTCAATATTCGATTCTTGATTTCTCTTCAGCTGTAAAGACAAATCAATGTTTGATTCTTTATGACATTTTAGCTCGATTTCAAGTTCTTTTAGCAGTTGTGATCCACTTTCTGAGTTATACGTTGACTCCACATTCTCTTTCTCATGTCGTTCTTGAAGAAAACAGATAAATTTTACACAAAAAAAAAGATTAATTTTACAAAGAGTATCTTACTGGATGAAAGTTTAGAGAATTGATTAAGTATATATCATTCCCCTCTCTGGTGGCATTTAAAAGTGAAGTTTTTACTTTTCTGTTGTTCATCAAGATAATGTACACCAACTCTCCCTTCGATTGACCCAACCTACAAAGCCAGATTAATCATCATGAAAAAAGACGAGAATACCCCTATCCTTAATTGAGCAACATGATAAGCCAATATGGAATCAGAAACATACCAAGAAGCAGTTCTTTCACCCTTAAAATTTCCTTTTGAAATGTTTGCCCAATTTCCTTCACCACATCTCTGTACAACATCAAAAAGTGACCTATCCTCTTGTACAGACCATGGTTTTCTTTTCCTTCTAGATGGGAAGTTGTTGTTTGGACATGTGTTTGTAGTATCCAATGTTTCACCAGACAAAACTGGTGGGACTACTTGTGTTGGAACAAAAATCGGACTAGCAAGTTGTGTACTCTCATCTGATGAAGGATGAGGGGTAGATTTGTCTTTTGGTATATTTATCATCAATGGAGCCTCCATCACCAACCTTTTTTCCATACATGACTCACTTGGTGAATCAGACGCAATGAGTACCTGAAAAATGCATAACTATTTTATAAGGGAAATGGAAAAAGAGTAATGAATTTTATTGTTTATTTACAAATTTACCCTTAGGGGGTGTTTGTTTTGGTCCTAATTGATACAATTCAATTTTGTGATTTTGTTCTTACCTTCACATAAGTTGCAGTCTCTGCTGAAGCAATATTGCTAACAGTTGGGAAAGCTTCAAGTTCATATTCTAGATCACTATCATCGCCCTATTAGTTGTTACTAAGTTACTAACTTACTTTATAAACCAATATCCATGTCAAATGTCCTAAATACCCCTCAAATGTAACAAATCAGTATTCATTTCTTTCTAACATTAAACCAATTTGATTGTTATGTTTTGACTTTTGAGTATATAATTATTCTATTAAGTGTTAAAATGTCACTCAAGGTTACAATCTTGGAGTATGACTCTAAGACTTGTTTTGGGAACAAAGTATGACTCATCTTCTTGATTTAAACTATTTCAACAATTCACGATTCCTCTTCTTAGCCATACAAATGCACTAAGATGTCTTTAGAGGATCATATGTGATATGGTTTTTCCATAAACTTTAAGATGATCATAAAACTGATGGGTTTTTGAGCATTCTAACACTTCCTAAGTGTACATACAACCCTAATAACTTTGAATCTATGTTTTCTCTATATACATGCAAATTTCTTTTTCAAGGTTATTTCCT